AATAAATTCATGTAAGTCGTCATCAAGGCAGTGGTAGCCCAGTGGTAACACGCTCGCTTGGGACACCGAGTGAAGCGGGTTCAAATCCCGGGTCTCGCACCTCTGATATTTTCATGTGCGAATCATTTCCAACATGATTACCACTAGTCTTAACGGTGAAGGAAAACATCGTGAGGAAACCTGCATGTCTGAGAGAATCTAGCAAGTTTTCGAAAACATGTGAAGTCCGCCAACCCGCACTTGGCCAGCGTAGTGGACTATGGCCTGATCCCCGTCGTATTGAAGGGAGGCCCGTGCCCTGCAGTGGGACGTTAAAAAGGGCTGAATACAAGTCGTCATCGACATGGTCACGTGACGTGTTACCGCTAACACTTAGAGTATCGTTAGATATCAAAACCAGAGAAATGTAAATAGTTTTAATTTACAAATTATAATTTAAGATCAAACAATTAATTTGAATATCCAAAAATAACAACTGCATTAAGTTTTCATTTCTGTCGGCGTGTCCTCATGACTGCTCTTGCCAATAGCTTTCGCCCTCGGCTTCGCTCGTGTGTTCAATAATATATGAGAAATGCATATATTATTGAGAGTTAAGTTGCTTTTTATTGTTGAAATAATATATTATATCCATGTGGTAGTTTATGAGATTATCTTTTACAGACAAACAAACATATTTTAAATATGTGTATGTGGAATTACTTTAGCAGAATTTCCGCTTTACATCAGCGGTGAGGTCGAATAGTATCTATATCAAATATAAATACATATGTAATTATTTTATCATTTCAATGCAAACAAAGTATTAGGCTAAAACTAGGTTTTTTTTTAAATTATGAGACTTTTAAGTCTTACGTATATTTTTTAAACTTAACAAGCAAATACTTGAAGTTAACCTAAAGATATTTATTGCAGATTAAAAATTTTGTACAAGTGGCCATTATATTAACGTCAGTACCTACTCATATAATAAATATTTTAAAATGGCATCAGTTGTGATAAAAGTTCATTCATATGATTAATTAATATAGTTAATTAAAACAAAATTTATCAATTTAGGCATGTAATGGGAAGTGCTAATGAATAATAGTATATGTTCGTATTTCTGTTTATTTATGTTGTTTTATAATATCTATATTTAATGTGTTTCTGTTTTTAACTTACACGAAAAAAAAGATAGTTCTAAATTCAGCTTGGCTTTTTGGCTTTTATTTTATTAGGCTAAGATTTTATAAAAATTAATGATTGTCGCTCCTTACATACGGAGAATCAAAATAAGCTCTTTAACAGAGATTTCAGAAAGTTGTTTGATGTATTTTTACATAAACGCCTCATCCAAAAATCGATTCACGGCTTTCCTTTAGAGCTTTCCATTGATAACACTGGATAAAAGCTCGTATAGACTTCTTTCTTAATTTGATAACTAGCATTGCAACTAGCGGATAACCAGCTATCACCATACCACAACAAAATCCCTCCAGTGGTTTTTCTGTGATGTGGTAACAGACAGACAAAAATTCTAAAAACTATAGATTCGGCCTCTGTATCGATAATAATGTTTATTTCAATAAGATTTTCCAAAAAATATCCAAAGTACAGATTCGGCTTAGTTACAATTTTATTATATATGTACCTATAGATGATAAAGTTATGACCCTTTTATTACAATATTTTCTTAAAATTAAATACTGGGTTCTCTCAGACATGCCGGTTTCCTCACAATATTTTCCTTCACTGTAAAGCAAGTGGTAATCACGTTGGAAATGATTCACACATGAAAATATCAGAGGAACGAGACCCGGGATTTAAACCCGCTTTACTCGGTTTCCCAAGCGAGTACATTTACACTGGGTTGCCGCTGCTTAAGTGCTTGCACTTAATTACAGCCGATAACAAACGACAGTTCAGGAAATAATCATATTTTAATAATCATATTTTACTACATATGTAAAAATTACAATTTCATTATAACATTTCACACAAAACATTTTATGTAATGAAAAAAAAAGTTGAGGCGGATTTATCTAAAGGTCAAGCTGAGAACAAATATTTCCATGCCAAAAAAATTATCTAATCATATATTATACAGTTACATATATATTTACAATAACTAACTGCTTTTCAACTGTCTTTGTCAATTTCATTTTAATATTTTGCTTATCAACTAAGGAATAAAAATTGATTGTAGCTTCAAAAGAATGAACACTTTGCTATATTTTGCTATTATTATTATTATTATTATGAATGTATGTTACATATAATAAAATTGTAACTAAGTCGAATCTCTACATTAAATATTTTATGGAAAATCTTAATGAAATAGTCATTATTATCGATGCAGAAGCCGAATCTATAGTTTTTTGTATTTTTTTCTGTCTGTGTGTCTGAGAACGCATCACGTGAAAATCACTGGACAGATTTTGATTAAATTTGGTATGATGATAGCTGGGTATTCGGGTCTACATATAGGATACTTTTTACTACGGAAAAATATCTCATCTTTGAGAAATCTATACTAAACTTTAAAACCTAACTAGTTATGAACCCGATCGGAACGAGGGTGAATCGCTAGTATTATTATATATAATAAAAACATTAATCACGGCTATGTGGTAAATGATATATGATAAACTACAGATCTGAAATTAAAAGGTCAGTTATTTTAAGTGTCATCACGTGTCTCTTGATAAAAAATAATATTTAATGACCTTTTCGAACATGGCTTATCGAACCCTTGATCATTATACTTAGACTTTTTAAATTCACCAAAATTTAGATTATTTGTAAAGAGATAGTTTTTTAACGTTTAGTATAGATTTCTCAGGGATGAGATTTTTTCCCGCAGTAAAAAGTATCCTATATGTTTACCTGGATATAACCAGCTATCATCATACCAAATTTCATCAAAATCCCTCCAGTTGTTTTTCCGTGATGCGGTCACAGACAGACAGACAGAAAAAAAAAATTAAAACTATAGATTCAACCTCTGTATCGATTATATCGACTGTTTCAATAAAATTTTCCAAAAAATATTTTAATTTACAAATTCTACTCAGAATTTTAATATATGTATGGAATATAGATGGATATATGAACCAGTGTTCGCCGAGTCTTCGAAATTTGACCATATTAATCATTATTGAAAATTTTCTAACATGAATTTTTCTTAATAACTTACATATTATCTACATAAAAAATAAACTGTTTCTAAACTTTTTTATTGATCAAAATATTCTAACAAGTAATATACTTCATCAAAACCTTTTTTTTTTATTTACATTAATATGTGAAAATACAAAAAAGCTTCGCAATAAGAAATATTTTTCTGACGAAAAAAAAATACAATATTCTTCAAAAGAATTTCAATTTCAAATATGATTGCGCATACCGAGTACCAAACTTTATTCATATATATTCACGTAAGCATATTTAAATGATCTCTAGGGAAGAAAAGAAATTCTTGGTTAAATATTTCTAAATAATATACAACTCGACGGGGTGAAAGGCTATTTGGTTCTTAATCTTTAATGATTTAAAAAAAAAAACATTAAAATGGCTCTCCTGTAAAGTTAAGAAAGTGTCGCTTAAACCAAATAGCCTTTCACCCGTCGAACTAGAGGCTCACCCGCTCTTCACTCACGTTCGCCTCTAGGATAACAAAAACAAACCTATCCCACGGAAATCGTACATTTTTCCTGGGATAAAAATTAGCCTATGTGTAATTCCAGACTATAATCTATCTGTGTGCCAAATTTCATCCAGATCCGTTCAGCTGTTCTGGCGTGTAAGAGTAACAAACATCTATACTCACAAACTCACCTTTCTTAGAAGACCTGTAGTTAAATATAACTCCTTAAGAACACTACTCGTAAGTGATGCCCTATGGTACATCATTATGTACCATATAATATAGTAGATTATGTATGTATATTGTACAGTGTACGCCACATGGATACTTATCAAAGTCAATGTGCAACAAATTTAAATTTCAATATCTTTAATACAAATTTTGTATCTATTACGATAACGATAAGTGTTATTCCTTGATCCTAAAAATATACTATACTAGTCTTTAGCCGTGACTCGTCTGGTTATTTATAGAAAATAACCTACATTATGTCAACCTAGAATTCTGAGACGAACAAACTATCTTTAATTTCAAATCTAGTTCACTCTCGTTGAGCTTTTAAAGCACGAAAGAGCAGCAAAGTCAAAAGTTTTGATATTAATAAAATATTAGTATGATGATATTTCCAAGCTTATAGGATTTCTATGGAATTATGATATAGCTTTCCCATTTGCAGCAGGATTTGCGTCCTGTTCTTAACGTTTAAAAACTTTTCCAATTTTACTTTAGTTCGCGAAGTCAGTCTCGTGTTGAATTCGTTTATTTTGCTAGTACCTAAATAAATATTGTTATATGTAATAAATGAGAAATAATTTTCTTATAATCGCTTAAGTTTCATGATCATATGGTTGTATTTCATGATATAGACCAGCTAAACCAAAAATGACTTAATGATTTAAACGTCAACGTTTTGTGATATGTTAGTCCACGTTTGACCATATCCATATCTTAGTCTATACATATATATATATATATATATATATATATATATATATATATATAGAAGAGGTTGTGTGTTCAAAATAAAAAGGACCCAACGAAAAGACTTCTCATATACCGTGATTCGAGTTGGATCTGACACCTTTTACATTTATTTAATTAAGAATACCGACCAATCTCCTTTGTGCTTCTCCATTCTACGTGACATTGGCGAAGTAATCTGTGCTCAATTGGCACGCTTTGAAGCCAAAACATTTAGCTTAGCTTAACAAAAAAATTGAATTGAATAATTAAGAAACATTGATTTTCGTTGCTCCCTATATATTTTTTTTGTTTCATATCGATATAAGATCGAGTTTCAATAGTGTATGAAATAATGTGATAAATTGTGGAGTAATATTTATCTTCATTTGTTTTAGGTAAATAATCAAAAATGGCGGAAATGTCGTTCGCCAATATGACCACAGAGAACGGGCTTTCGGAAGTGGTTACCAACCACTTGAAAGGTATCGGCCGAATGTTCTACATACATTCGCCTAAAGAACAATTATATGAAAAACCTGAGGACGTCCCTAATTTCTTTAGACAGGTGAGTTCTTATTACATTTTTAACCGACTTCAAAAAGGAGAAGGTTCTTAATTAGGTTTTTTTTATTTAAAAAAAATTAGCTGTTAAGAAATGTACATATAAACATAACATCAATTTTTGACTAGAAAAATTGGTTTTATGTATCTTAACCGATTGCGAAATGATTTAGATGATTTTTAAATAGACGAATTTAAAAACATATATGATTTCTCGTATTTCACATATTTTTTAACTTAAGAAAAAATATCATTAGTTTTTGTCTGCACACTTCAAGTATCCACATAAATAATTTAATTTAAGTTCTAGGTAATAAATATAAGATTTCAATGTAGTATATTAGCTATACTGTATGTATGTATAGCAGTACGAATTTTTCATCTTACGGTGAAGAAAAACATCGAAAGGAAACCTCCATGTCTGAGAGAACCTAAAAAGTTTCTGAAAGATATGTGAAGTCCACCAACCCGCACTTGGCCAGCGTGGTGGACTATGGCCTGATCCCCCTCGTATTGAAGGGAGGCCCGTGCCCAGCAGTGGGACGTTAAAAGGACTCATGAAAGGATCCATGAAGACATATAGTATACGTTTGCTATAATATTCGTTAATTTGTCTGACCATCCATTTTATTTATAACCGACATAGGGCTTTGTTATAATATTAAAATTTCAAATCTCCTATTGAAACTAATGGAGAAGTTTCAATATCAGCAGAGTTTGAAAATTATAAAATAATTTCATAGATAATTGTTTTAACATGAGTACATTATGTTATAAATAAAAGGTTATTTTATTTGACCTTTCCTTTTTTATCAAGTCGGTTATCTTCGTTAAGTGAAATAATATAAGTACTGATATAAATTATGTTTAAGAGTTAATAAGAATTGGTAATAGCTTTTCTTAAGAATTTTAAACGATAATAAATTGGAACAAAATAACAAGTCAAAATATTTTAATCTCTTTACAAGTTGTGAGTCACAAAAATGTAAAATATTTGAATTAAAAGTGGTTATTTTAAATAAAACTATATTTTCGGATTATTTCGCGGATTTATTTTGATTTTTGGTTCCCGACGTTTCGAATGCTTTACAGCGATCATGGTCACGGGAGAGACTGAGGTTACAGATATCTCAAAGGCGTTATACACTTGTTACAAACAGTGCCTACCCACTATTTCACAAAAATGATTTCAAAAATTCAAAAATGGCACCAAAGTACCTTAATATTTGTTGGTTTTTATTTTTTTATAATATATATATATATATATTATATATATATATATATATATATATATATAATATATATATATATATATATATATTAATGTGATCCATGCGTAATTTTTGCAGTCCATTTAACTTTTAACTCTTGTTATCTAAGCTTGTCCTATTTGATAAATAATAAATAATAATACTAAAGTTGATCATAGCTATAAATTTTGAATCTATTAATATAAGAAATAATAACTTTATTTTACCTACAAAAAAAATTACAAAGGGTGCAACCCACCGAAAAAATTTACTGAAATTCGACAAATAAAAATCTTTTTGACTTCAATAATTTATTTTGAGTGAGCAACAAACGAATACGAAGATTGGTAATCGATAAAAATATTTAGCTAGAAATAAACATGCAACGTTTTGTCACTTAGCCTTAAACTGGCAAAACAAATTACAATGATTTGAATTCGCACATATAAACGATTTGTGTCGAAAATTGACTCAATTCAATTTTAACTTCTCATGAATGATGTCTTACACGTTTTCGACTTGTGAAAATATTATTAAGTACTGAATTTTTTTTTCTAGGGTTCCGTACCCAAAGGGTGCAAACGGAACCCTATAACTAAGTCTCCGCTGTCCGTCTGTCCGAGAGCTGTATCTCATAAACCGTATAAGTAAAGATTTGAAATTTTCAAAGAGTATGTATTTCTATTTCCGCTATAACAATAAATAATAAAAATAAATAAAAATCAAAAACAAGTATGGTGATACGGAACCCTTCGTGTGCGAATACGAGTCGCACCGACCGATTTTTAAATAACCTCTGCCTAATATGCAATCTCTGAATCGTGAATAAAAAGATAATTTTATCTTACAAAAAGTGATAAATGGGATTTTTGTAGGTACTAATAAGAAAAAAATTATTGAGATTGCAATAATTTTTGCGTACAAAAAGATGTTACTCTCAAAGAAATGTACTAGAAGTAAAGTACTATTTCTTTTTTTTTATTATATCAAAATAGCATAAAATATATTACATTTGCCATAAATATGTTTAATCTGACTAATAAAAAACCTTATTTGTCCTATAATAAAACAGACATACAAATAAAACATAATATATACTTCAATTTTCTTTTAGTTGGTACCAATCTCCAAATAAGACCTCGAACATTATGGGACCACTAGTACATAGAACTAGTTGTTAACTGTAATTAAAACGTAGCTTATTTTGTACTGAAGTAGTTTTAATATATACCTCATATATATGTGTGTGCGTTATTGTAATAACCCCATGCCCTACAGCACATACCTATAAAATAGCACATAATAGAAAACTGAGAATAATTTTTTTTCATTTATATATAAAACTAACGACTCACCCTCGCTCCGCTCGAGTTCGTCTCTAGGTGATTCTTTAAATTGACATAACTTTTTTATTTATGAATCGATTGAAATAAAACAAATACTAAATATTATGTGAAGCTTACCATAATACACTACTGAAAGTCACACCCAAATCGGTTACGCACTTTCTGAGATAATCCCGCACAAACGCACAGACAAACAAACATAAATTCTAAAAACCACTGTTTTGGGTTCTATTGCGTCATTAAAGGCCCCCAATAATAGTTTTTCTCAAAAAATATCTTCCATGTCAGACAGCGATCAGTTACAAATTTATTGTATGTGTAATAGACGTAGAGGCAAAATCCTAGAAAATTCATTTTAAGTATGAAACTTTGAATAAAAATAATGTAGGCCCTTTTTAACGTCCCACTTCTGGGCACGGGCCTCCCTTCAATACGAGGGGGATGGCAAAAGTCCACCACGCTGGCCAAGTGTGGGTTGGCACACTTCACATGTCTTTTGAAAACTAGCTAGGTTCTCTCAGGCATGCAGGTTTCATCACGATGTTTTCCTTCGCCGTAAGACAAGTGTTAATGACGTTGGAAATGATTTGCATAGAAAATATCACAGGTACTAGACCCGAGGATTTGAACTCGCTCAACTCGGTTTCACAAGCGAGCGCATTACCAGTGGGCTACCATTGTCTTGCTTTGTGCTAATTTAAACAGTAAACAAAAAATAATGAAACTAGTCAAATGTAATATTAAACGTGTAAAATTGACGACAGGTTTGGCTCAGTTTTTAGTGACCCTACTTGCTGTATCAGCAGTCGCGAATTCAAGTCCCACTGGCATGCATTTATGTGATGAGTACAAATATTTGTACTCCAGCCATGAGTAGTTTATATGTATAATATATATGTTTTTAAAGTTATATATGTGTAGTGTATCAACTATCTGGTATCCATAACACAAGCCTCGTAGCTTACCATGGAATTAGATAGTGCTCTATTGTATTGTGTACGAGACCTTTGGTATACAAGTTCGACTCTCAATTGATCCATTTCTTTACTTAAATATATCTCGCACAATCCGTGTTTGCAAAAATGTAGAGCACATATATTATTTCCTTTCTTTCTATAATATCTTTCTATAGGATAGCTAGCTAATTTAATTTGTATCTCGTACAATGTATGTTGTGTACATGAACCATGATGGAAGCCGATTAAAGAATCATTAGACGAAAGTATGTCAGCCTTTAATATAAACTAATTTACAGTCAAGTATAAAACATTTCAAGCATAACAACATAATTCAATATTAGTTTCGTAAATATTTCGTAAAAACAAATTAATTCTGTACGTAACAGGTTGTCTTATTTCACTTTTTACACAAGGCCATACGGCACATGTCTCACGTGTCGATAACTAATAATAATAAGTTTGGCTTGATTGTATGTTCGTATGTTTTGAAAATTTTAAATAAGCGTTAAATACGCGAATTATAAATAAGTCGAAGCGTAAGTTAAGTAATAAAAATAATAATATCCTGATCTATACAGATAAATAAAATCTGTGCCTATTTGTAATGTCGAAATAAATGCATTTTACTAAATGCATACAAAATTATGTACGGTACTTATATGAAAAAAACAAAATTTTTAACATTTTTGTCTGACTGTCTGTCTGTTTGTTCCGGCTAATCTCCGAAATGGCTGGACTGAATTTGACGGGACTTTAACTGGCAGATAGCTGATGCTATATCGAGTAACTTAGGCTACTTTTATTTTTTAAAAGTAATTAGGGTTCCGTTCAAAAAAAAACTTGCCTAGGGACATACCTGAGCTGGTATAAAATAAATAAGAATCTCCTGCTATTGCCTAATAATTGTTTAAAAAGAATATTAAAGAATATAACATACCTTTTTAATATAAACTTAGTAACTTCAAAGATGTGATAGCAGCTTTAACTGTAGGTGTCAATAAAACAGCTAATCTGATCTATGGGGAATGTCTGTAAAAGTTGGATCTCGTCTAGAAACAATATTTGGACCCAGTTATGCAAAAAACAGCCATGTGCGTAAAAGTACCAACAGAGTTATAAGCATTTTATTATAAAAAATAAAATAATTATAAAAAATAAACAATACTTATATAAATATTGTTCAGTTTTAAAATAACCAGAAAAACAAAACAAAACCCAAGTGTAACTATTGACAGAAAAATGCTTATAGCTCTGTTGGTACTTTTACGCACATGGCTGTTTTTTGCATAACTGGGTCCATTTAATAGGCGCCTAGAGCTTGGTATGTTTCCTGATATGTCTAATGAAACACAGAAAAATATGGCTACTTTTAAATCTATACTGGTTGTTTGGTAGCTTAAGCCAACGTTCAATAAAATTGACTTTGTTAAACTTTTCGGTATCTGTGGC